TATCTAACAGGCAGAACAGTTATCTCCTACTTTCTAAATGAATTAGGACTTCTTAAGAATCTATCACACTTTTCCATTTTTCAAAGTGAAAATAATAAATTAGATCCAAACTATTCATATTCCAAGTACTTTCATTCTTCTTACTGTCAGCCTTTATTAGACTACATAAAGCTTGAAGATTAAAATGCTTGGAGTTCAAAAGCACGAACTTGCTGCAAAGTTAATTATTTCTCGCCAGTCAGACAATATCTTTACTTTTTACTTATTGTTCATGGAGGTTTCCTTTTTTATTACACACTAAAGAGAGCATATCCATCAAAGTTACTTTTAAAATCCAAGTTTTTAGGTTTTTCATTACTTATATCAATAGTAATAATATAGCCAACTCTCAATTTATCCAAATTACTTTCAAGTACTTCAATAAAGTAGGCAATAACATTAAGGCTTCTGCAGACATAAAAAAGATCCTCGAGCAGGAGCTGGGAGAAAAGAGCTTCTCAAATGTAAATTTAGTCACTTCCCCTCCCTTATGGAAGGTGAAGTCTGCTCACCTGGGCTAGTCGTCGGCCTTCTGCCGAGAGCTGACATTGCCCACCCCAAAAGTGGGATTGGAAGCAAGGAAAATTGGAGAGGAAAGGAAGCCGGATGAGAGTGCTGAATAGCTATCTTCCCCCTTTGGGGTCAGAACTCCCTGGCTTCCCACCACTTACCAAATCAATCCCAACTTCTTGGCCTGATCTTCAAAGCCCACCACAAGCCAGCTCCAACCCACCTTTTTCCATTTCAGCTTGTACTCCCCACTCCTGCCCTCACGCTAGCCCTATTTCTAGCACACTCTCCACCCCTCTACCCCCAAACCCTTTCCTGCTGACCTCCAATCCAGCACTCAAGGTGCAGGATGAAGGGGCAAAGTTATGCCAGCAGATCACAAGCTCTGGGAGGTTATCAAACTAGAGAGACTGCGTGAGAATCCTGCCACGGGCTGGGAATCAACCAACTATGTTTGAAGAGGTTTCCCACCAGGCTGCTGATCAGCCACCCAGTACAATAATTCCCCATAAATCATGCCCAAGAGCAGCCCACCAAGGTGCAGAGTGGCTGGGTGGAGGGAGCATCCAGAGAGAGGAAATGGTAGATACTTCAAAGTGATGGAGTATTATTCCTATTATAATATTTAGTTACTTCTTCTTTAAAATGGCTAATTAATTTTGATTGACCTGTTTTTAACATTAACATATCTAACAGGCAGAACAGTTATCTCCTACTTTCTAAATGAATTAGGGGCAAAAGCCCCTTATGTCTGCAAAAGCAGCCTCCTTCTGGATGCCTACCTCAAACCACCTCCCCTAGACCTTAGCTCTCCCTCATCTCAAGCACTCTACGTCCCACCTGTAAAGTGAACATTTTCTAAATGTTCTCCTAATACTCCCACCAGACAATTTCCTTGAAGGTAATACACACATCTCACACACAACTGTACACCCTCCAGCTCCACCTAGAGCACTGCAGTATAGGTACCAAAGGCAGAATAAATATCTGTTACCTGGGCAAAATAATGATTCAGTCTATTGAACTAAATACTGACTTCCTTCCCAAATTTAAGCTTCACCCATCATCTTACTCAAGCACAGACAGACGTCTGAATACAAGGGAGACGGCACTATCTGTGGTTTCCCTGGCATGGGAACTCCACCCACTGATAACAGCCCAAGAATCCTCCATGCCTGGGTAGGTGATCCTCGTGACTTGCTATGATCTGAAACAAAAATCCCGCCACCTGGTGGCCAATCTTTTCTCGACTTAGCACAGCTGATCTTCCAACAACTGGGCCCATATTCTAGGCCTTTTTAGCTTGGTAAGACTTGCCAGGGTTGGCTTGTTCTAGGCCCAGCCTCCAAGAAACCAAGGTTTCCCTCCGCACTCTAAGACATAAGAGGACTGATGAAGCAAAACACACATAAGTGCGGATAATGATGCACTGACTGTAATAACAGCATTTTTTATGTCAGCCTCCTTTTCCATTTATTATAATGGATGGTCCTTATCAGCTCCAAAATTCTGTCTTTCTCACTCTATCTTTATAAAAAAGGTGGCTCAGAAAAGAACTTTCTTTTTCAGATGAAGAAACCCAATTAGTTAGAGAGGCCTAAGGTGGTTAAGAAACTAAGCAATATTAATAATATGAAGATCAATAACAATATTAATAAAGATAATAACTCACATCCATGAGAGACTGTGCATTTTACAAAGTGCTGAGGACAGAGGGGCTGAATCCCGGGCAGCCTCATGCTTGAGCCAATCTTACTAGAAAATGCTGCCTAGACCAGGAGCCCAGGTCACCAGTTTGAGGACCACTATCTTGTCTCAGATGTTTCCTAACTTTATTTGTGAAACGGCTAAAGATAACCTAACTATGTAATTCCAGCAAACGCGACAGGAGGTAGTGAGAAAATACATGTGACTTTCAAAATGAACTCCTTACATAAGCTGCCCCATTTACAGGGTATGGGGAAGGGTCTCCTAGGCATCCCCCCTAGGCATTCTCCCTCCAACTATGCCTCTCATCCCATTTTCCTATACCCATCATCCAAGCTTGGGCCTGCACAGCCAACAAGGTTCAAAGCAACAATTCCTGGGAAGTCTGCTTATTTTCCTAAAACTTTTTTTGTGGTAAGTATAATCTAGGGTTACCACAAAAACCCAATTCTAGAGAAAAAAATGTTTAACACATTTAATGCTTTAGAGTCATCTTTTTAAAATCTCTATTTTATTCCTGATCAGTCTTCATGTTAGCTCACCTCTGCTGTTCATTTCATTCCTACTCTAGCTGACCTCCCTGGACCCCTGGACCGGCTCACAAGCCTGCACTTATGGGGTTTGGTTTCACTGTGATTAAAACTGAATGATGGAATGAACAAGAAGTTTGTCACTAAGTCTCACCCCTTTAGAATTCAGTAAATCTGGGACTGGCAAGATTTTCTCCCAATGTGTGAAAGAATCCCTTCTGGAAATGCGCCCTCCGTCCCCCTCCACCTGCATGTCCACTAAGCTCACCAGTCTTTGAACCCACCTCACCCTACCCCTTCTCTGTCCATGGTTCCAACATGAAACAAGAAAGAGCTGCCCTGAAATCAGCCCAGCATCTCTCCCGGGTGCCAGGCCACAGACGTGACAAGGGCTGCTCCCAAAGTGGGGGAGGGGACGCAAGGTCAAGAGGTGAAGTAACCGTAAGTGTACGAGAGTGGTCATAAGCAGAGCCATGACATTCCTGCAAACGACCCTGGCCCGTCTGTTCTCCAGAAGCAAATCTTCCTAGTCTGTAAAGCTGGATTACGTGAAATCAGAGCTTTAGCGCTGGAAAGAGCTGTATCGGTCACAGGACTCTCCACATTCAGCACTGCTTCCTGAGGCAGCCCATTAAGAATGTGTAACCCCAAACCATACCTTTCATCATCTGTATCCATGGTTTCTTTGTCCCTATCCAGCTCCTTGAGCTTCCAGTTCCTGCGACGCTGACGTTTGGCACGATCGTAACTCTTTTTGATTAATACCTAAACACCAAAGAATAATCTTAAAGGTACATTTAGAAAGCAACTAGTGTCAAAAGCCCACTAGCGCCGAGAGGCAGCGGGGACCACGACCACAGTCGTCTAGGTCTCTCCAGCCCATCCCCTTCAGTCATCTGTCCCACCAGGGCAGCTGGCGCAATTTTTCACTCTATACCAATGCAGCAGGAGGCATAATTTTACAGCATATTAAGTCAGAGAGAAACTCATTAAACCTACTTTGTATTTCTATTAGTCTTACTCCTACACGATGGTTCTGTCTCCTGTGTCTATGAAAAGAGATACGTAAAAGCAGATGCTTTGTTTCCCTCCATTACCATGACTTCACTTCCACCCTCTGCTGAGAAAACCAATACCTGCTTAATAATATTAAACAAGTACGCAGATGGAGGGCTTTCCACACCGATTTCACACTTAGTGCTTTTCATATTTTTCCCTTTACAAACTCATCAAGATTTTAAAGAGACATTCGGTCTTGATGCTTTGAAGATTATTGTCTACTGCAATTCCGTTCAAGTTGGAATACCGTCTCTGTATTGACACCTTTTGTTTTGACATCGCCTTCATTTCCCAATAACCTCTTCTCCCTCTTTCCCCGTGAGAACCACCCCTTATCAGAAAGAACAAAGAGGGGGCCAAAAGCAATCTCATCAATCAAGTCTAATATTACAATGGTGCTGCTTCACCTCTGCCAAGAAGTAGTGTCTTCTGCTTCTACACAGTGCTCTGGGTAGTACATGGAATAAAAAATGAGGCAAGTGAAGAGTTGCTCTGAAATATATTCCTGCCTGATTCCACAGCCCCATCTAATCCTAATCTGTGGTGTATCAAAGGAGTTTGAGAGAGTAAATTAAGATAACCTAAGGCATTGCGTGAAAAATGGTTGATGTAAAAAGAGGCCAATCCCTCGAACTCTCGTATTTACCCTTTCCAGGAAAAGGAGGAATGCCAACGTCTTTTCAAATAGCTTTCAGAGGAAAGCTCACAGGCTACCCCAACTTCCCATTCTCAAGATGTAACACAGCCCCACCCTTTTAAAAAGAAGGAGCTGGCCCATTTTATGCCACGGTGGGGGAAGCCCTGGGCGCCTGACTCACCACATCAGGAACATGATGGGTGTTCATTTTGTTGGCATACTCATCATTCAGGTTGCAATTGGCCAAGTCAAACCTAAAATGGAGAAAATGAAAATGTCATCCCTAGGGCATTCACCCTTCCACATCTGGTGTCTCCTCCTTTACAGGTTCCCCCAAAAGACTGTGCTGCTCAGCAGACAAAAGGCCTCCGAGTTTCCTGGGCAAAGGGACAAGTGCAGTTCCTGTGGAGTTCTCATCAATCCCTCACCTCTGTTCTGTGCAAACACCCCTGTATAAGAAGCAGATGCGGCAGCCAAGGGGGCAGAAGACATGTACTAGTCTTTGGTCTTGAGACTGGATGGCCTGGTACCAGCCAATACAAAGAGAACAGTCTCTCCTCAACAGAACCAGCACCAGGACAGCCAAACTAAAGGCCAAGGTGTATGCTCTAAATGAAAAATTTCACCATACCTGTCCATTTTATATTCAGAGGCCTGATGCTAAATTTTTTTAAAAATTAAAATGGCAGGAAGTGGAGCCACAATAAAGGAATATCAAAAGATCTCCAAACTTCACAATGTTTAAATTTGGGCTACTTTGAGGAACCATATGGGGATGAAACCAGTACACAGAGAGCTATCTGCCCTATTCAACCCACTTAAAAGTACACAAAATCTTGAAGGACAAATTCTTCAGAACACAAGCTGAAATCTAACTGGGGCTCCAAGGTTTACAAACCATCTTCCACACGAGATTTCTGCAGAGAAGGGTCCCCAACGCCACCTAGTCCAACCTACATCTGATCACAGATCTCCTCAAGAACATCCCCCACCAGTGACGAGGCTCTCTCCCACCCCTCTTCTACTGAGACAGCCTGTGCTGGAAAACTCTGCCTCAAGTGGAGGCTCAATCTGCCTCTGAAAGATCAAGGAAAGCAGAAAGCCCTAACAGGCTCTTGAAAATGAGTCTCCCATGAATAGCCAGCCGCTCACAGAGGCCTACAGAGCCTCCGGCCCCGTCAGCCATCATACACAGGCAGGTCACCAAAAACAGCTGCTCCCAGAGGTCCACAGAGGAAGTCCAAGCATTGTTCACCACTCCGATTGCCAGGGCATATCTTTGTCTTGGGGCAGCTGTCACAGTAAAAGCCTCTTCTCTGGTAGGGGAGGCAGGTCTGCCCAGTGAGTGATGCCAATCTGTATTATGGTGCCAAGGGCCATCCAGAACGATGGGGGTGGAAAGGAAGATAGCGCTCCCATGCACCCCTAGCACTGGGAGGATGACTACTGGTTGGATCAGACGCCTCTAGAACGAACCTAGAGGCCTTGCCCATGGAGGCACTTCCCTTTCCTGACTATCTGGGTCTCACAAAGCTTTCCCAGGGAGCCCGGCCTGCTCAGATACAAGCACCAACACTGGCGTGGCGGTGTCCCTGCCAATGGCTCACTCCCCTCTTGTTCAAGGACAGACAAAACACCCCAGGTCTCCCTCGTTCTCTCCACAATCCAGGGAATCTCTGACCTTCCCCTTAGGGCACGTCCTGAGGACAGGCCAGTCATGGACCACCCCACCACATGGAGCGGCCGTCATGCACTCTCCACCATTTCTCTTCCAGGCCACTTGTTTAGCTGCACCACCCCCCACCCAGGAGGATGTTTGGACGTCCTCTCCCTGCCCTTGCTCCGGCCCCTGTGTCTGTGGTGGCCACCACCGAGCCAAGGCATCCGGATGCGCTGAGCAGGCCAGGGAACAGACAAGCCCTGCTTGCCCTTGTTTCAGATACACCAGGGAGAGGATAGCTTCTCTGGCCGTCACATCAGGAAGGACTGCCTAAGTCCATTAAAATTCCCACATCTTTTTCACGGGAAGTGGTGGCTATCTAGACTTCCTCCATTCTGTTGCTTTTTAGACCCAAGAAGAGGATTTTATATTTATTCTCCTGGGAAATCATTCCTGTAATGATTCTTATCTCAGTTTTACAGATAGGAAAAACTGAGGCTCAGGGGTCAAGTGACCTGTCCATGGTCTCCCATCTAACAAGGGCCAGAGGTGAGATTCAAACCCACAACTCCCCTGACTCCAAGCCTAGGCCTCTTCACAGCCCTGGAGCCCTCTGAAAGAGCACCTAAGCCATAACTGTAATTAGCAACAAGAATGAAAATCAAATCCTCTTTAGACTGAGTCCTATCATCATCTAGAGATGCTGCCTATGAAAAAAGCAGTGGAAACAACCATAAAGCCATACTGACCCCAGTACCAGGTCTCCAGGGTTCAGAAGATGTCCTAAATGAGTCCGGCAGAAATACTGATTGTCTGTATTCATCTCTGAAGTCTTCTGCACCCAGACTTCCCCGAGCATGTGCTTGACAAAAAAAAGAAATGGGCCGTTTAGTCACCTGGGCACAGCTCAATGAACCTCCTGCTAAAATGCCAAAATACAACATCCATTTTCTCCCAATGGAAAGTATTTTCTACTTCCTGATGGAAGTATTTTGAATGCCACCTATGGATTCACCATCAAAAGTTTTTAACAACTAATTGACATTTGACTTAGAACGCTTCTCCCAGTTAAAAAAATGCACACACCTTTAAAACAGAAAGAATTTCCAAGCCACAACAAGGGTATTCCCTGCTGTCTGCACCACTCCATGCCCCCAGCATCTGGGCATTGCCCATAACTGTGCCCTTGGCCTCCCTGCCCCTAGGCTCCAGCAGGAGGCTTCTCACGTGGCTATCTAAAGCCTATTCTGCACACGTGCACACACATGGTTCCTGATGGAATATAAGCTGACTGAGGACACAGACAGCTTCCCCTTCTGCCTTCATTTCCCCAGTGTCCTGCACACAGCAGGAAGTTAATAAATGCTTGCTGACTGATTGGCTGACTTCAGGCAGATGACCCATAGGCTGCCGGTCCCAGGAGAGTAGGAAGAAGCTCCCAGGTCACAGATCAGAGCCAGAAGGCACCTCAGAGACCATCGAAATCCAACCACCCCATTTTATAGATAAACAAACTGTGGGAGCCAGGAAGCTTGTGACTTCAGAACCCATCAGAGGCAGGATTTGAACCCAGCTCCTCTGACTCCAGAGGGTGAAGGACTGTACAGAATAATTGGATTTTCAAGCTTTGCACCTGAGTAAGCTACCTTTGGAGTACAGCAAAAAGTCAGGGCTGGGGCACAGTGAGAGGGAGCCATCAAAGTCGACACAAAGCACAGCCTTGTTCCCAGGCTGTAAAGGAAGAGGCAGCCACCACAGGGCAGTATGAAGGACTCTGGAGGGCGGTGGGAAAACACAAAGGGAGTAGAGGGAGGTGCTACTGACCTTGCAGAGGCCCTCAAGGACTGGGGAGACCAAAGGAGGCATCTCCTGGCTAAGGGGTCCTCCCAAGGACCCCCAGCTATGACGGCACTCCATCTGCGTTTCAACTGGCCCAGCTTCCCCCGAGGCCCTACCAGGGCACTTACTGGAGCCGGGGCTCCTTGGTCCATCAGCAGTGGCCGTCAGGAACTGACCCAAGTGCCGGCTGGCGCCCAAGGGGGAAGACAATCCACTGTGGATTGTGTGAGAGGCTGGAATACCCTGGATCCCAGAGGCACACGCATGGAGCAGAAGGACTTGGAGGAGGAGGTGGGAAACACAAGCAGAAAGCAGGAACCGCAGAGATGAGACAATGAGGGGCCTGGCGTCTACGTTTCTAAGAAGCATCACAGATTCCTCTCAAATATGTCAACAATTCTTTTAGACCATAGCTCCGGGCAATCTTTCTGACTTTATGACTACACATATTTTCCTGCCAAAAGGCCTATTGTCAGGAAGGTGGCCCAGATTCAGAACCACCCATGAATAAAAATCTGCCCAGAAAATGATGCAAGCTCTGGGGGAAGGTGGGCAAGGCTTACTTTATTTGATCTCACGCCAGCCCCTGGCACAGCTTTTTGGTTGTGAATGATGCTGCATTCCATTACGATGAACTCCTCCAGCTGCTTGGGGTGGCATAAGCTACTGAACGGGTAGCGCCAATAGGTATTCCCATCGATCTCAGCAACTAGAGAGAAGAGACAAAGACAGCCATTAAGGGCAGAGCGAGCTCCAGACGAGCTGCAGAAATGTGAGGACAGACGCATTCTAAACCCATCCCCCAAACTCTGGCGCCTGCCAGGCCTTCTGAACAAATGCTGCTAGTTCTCATGGATGATTTTCTCCTAGCTATGGATAGTGACCAACTCCCCAAATGTTAGCAGGTCAAGCAGCAGGCTGAAGGATGGCCAACCACTCCATGCAGGAGATGAAGCGGGCTCGGCATCACCATGGGTTTGTCCACAGGCTTTATTCACCATGTTGCACCACAAGCTGTGTCCATTCCCCAGCAGACTGGGATAGAGTGGGACAGCCATGATCTTGGCTCTCTTGAGGGAAGTGTGTAAGAAAAGTGAATTTCTTATAAAGATGAGGCCCAATGAGTTTTATTCCATCAGCAATTCTGCTCTACATATGGATTGTATCAAGATCATTTGTTGTTTCTTATCTAGAGACTATTCATTTCTGTCAACTTTATGTTAAAGAAAAAATTTCAAATTAAGTTTTTAAAAATAAAATTACACATTTAAAAAATAAAAGCAGGCCAAAAAGAATAAAAATAATTTGCTTTAATAGATCATTCCTCCAGAATGGAAGTTTCCAAATGAATTTTATCTAAATTCCAGGATAATGATGGAATTGGCTAACAATCTAAGTAATGCCACATCTCCACTCCATCACGAAAAGTAAATTGCTTTCCAAACACTGAATGCTTTCAAATATGCTGAAATGTGACCATGAGACTTTAAATGAATCGGTCACAAAAATTAAATTGGAGAACAAACACAACCCAATTTCAGTAAAAGTTAATGGAATGAAACATCTATACAAGAAAAGATTTTAAGGAATAATAGAAGAGATAATTTCTATAAACATTATCAAATGATACTGTAGAGCTCTTTTAATCAAATGCTTTCTCCACAATCCAATTCCCATTCACCTTTTGTAAATAAGTTTGTAGCAGCGGTTATAATTCCCATTTTTAAGAACAAGGTTTTCCAAGAATTAGAATTACGTAATTTAAGGGCATAGTATGAACAGTTTTAACAATGAAGAACACCATTTACTGCTACATCCAGAGAAGTACAACCTTCAAGACAATTTTTAATCCAAAAAATAAAAATCCAAAAACCAAAGCAAGCCTTACTCTGCAGTGTGTTTGGATCAATGAGGTGGATGGCACTGGTAACTCGGATACAAACACAAATCTGGCTCATGTTTCCAAGGCTTTGTGCCAGTTTTGGAGACAGACACACAACATTGTCCTGTGTGGAACCAGAAATAAGCAGAGATGATTTTTACAAGGAATACGAGCCCCAAATAACAGGCCCCCAATGTTCATCTTTCCAAAGTCTACCAGCCCAACCCAAACTAAAGAGCTCAGTCTAAAAACTAGACACATGAAGATATGTCTGAACGAAAATGTCTGTTCGAACAAAAATGCTTTAAACTCAGCCAGCTTCTCAGAGACCCCCTTCTCTTTTCAGCACTGCTACCATTTTATTACCACTTTATTCAGATACAGAACCGAGAGCCCCTAATGACATTACATTTTTTATATCACACACCCATTCAACATTATTCTGCAAACATGTACCAGATCTTAGGCAATTCATAACTTCCACGAATATCCAAAAGAGTAAAAATTCAACCAAAGCAACATTTATCTCTTGACCTGCCAAATACATCGATATGTAAAGACAGAAGTAAATGCCTTAATTCACACTGAAATATCTATCTTTCTATGTCTACATCTATATAGAGATAATACACAAATATAAAGATATCAACTGAAGACTCAGGAATTGAAACTCCAATATACATAAAAGTAGAATTACTGACCTGGAGAATGTTCAAGGTGGAAGGAATCTCTCTGACAACTACATTTTTAAAAAATCAAACTGATCCCAAGCATGACACACCTCATTTGTTAAGAGAACAAAGCGTCTAATGAATTTCTCTACCTTTGCGCTCTTGTACCACTGAGTCTGAGCCCCTCACGGGGCACCCAAGACCCAAGAGATTCACTTCCGTGCCTGATGTATGTCACCTAAACTGAGCTACAGGCTCCCAGGACAGTCCTGAACATACATTTCCCCGAGACACCAAACACAGCCACGAGGGCGTAACCAGCTCTCGACAAAGGTCGGTGCTATGAAGGAATGAAAAGATGTTGAGGTTTCAAAGCTCTCATTAGCTTCCTATCCTTCTTACTCTAAACTACTCCTAAGCTAAAAGGGAAACAGAACCTAAGCTTTAAACAGTGACAGAAATAACATTTGGGCATAATCCATTTACTTCAATCTGACAAAAACACGAACACCTACTTTCAACCTATCAGCAAGCATTTACTAAGCACTTACTATGTGAATGACACTATCCCAGGTTCTGGAGATACAAATCTAATAAATGGTGAACATTTACAGAGCATTTTGAGGTCTGCAAAGCCCTGACTTAATTCATTTGATCCTCCCAACAACCCTGCGAGACAGGTACTGTTTATGTCCCCATTTTACAGAGAAGAAAACTGAGGCAGGGAGCAGTGAAGCAACAGCGCCTGAGCAGGATTTGAATTGAGTCCTCCTGACTCTGAGTCCTGAGATCTGTCCACTACGCCCTCTTGCTGCTGATCATAAATGGAGCCATCTCCAGTACCCAATGGAGCAGTGATGGAGTGATGGCTCAGAGAGCCTCCCCAAAGACCCAAGAACCTAGTGCTACAAGGGAGGGCAATGAGGAGATGGAGGGTGACTCATTCATCGGACAGAGAAGAAGGGTAACAGAGCCAAGCCCCAGGACGCAGCTCTGCTGCACAGCCTAAAGGGCAGGGAAACAAGCCAAGGCTAAGCTTGGGGTCCACCCACTCCGTAATGGTGGCGAGGTCCCTCAGCCTCCTAATCCCCCGCGTCACCCTGGCTGAACGTGGCTGCTATCAGTCTCACAGGATGGTCAAGGAGAGTGTTCTGCAAACCTCAGGGCTGCAGATCCAGAACAATGCCACTGATGACCAGCTTGGCCACAGAGGGCTGGGGGAGTGTTGGAGGGAAGGGAAACACAGACAACAAAAAGGCAGCCAGATGCACGAAGGCTCTGTGGGGCCCCACTGTGCAGGGCGAGGACACCACAAAGTCCAAGGCACCATCAGGAAAGAAGGGAGGGTCTCCACTGTTTACAGGAGGTGACGTCATCAGCAACTCAAGAAGTATTTGTTGAGTGCCTCCGACTGCTTGCAAGCACCGAACCAGACAATGGGGACTCAAGGATAAAAATTAAACTATAAAAAGAGAGATCCCTTGACAATGAGGAGCTTCCACTGGGGCTATGGAGGGAGGCGGAGCTGAAAAGCTGCCCCGAGGCCATCTCCGGGAGGCCTTGGATTCCAGGAGGAAGAGCTTGGCCTGTCTGTCCCTGGGAAGCAATGGGGAGCCACCACAGGCTTCTGAAGATGGGAGAGTTTATCATTCTCAAGCTCCAGAGGAGCAGGGGGCAGAGCACTGTCCGAGAGGCTGGCAGACTTGAGTCGAATCCTGCCTTAGACACTTCTGAGCTCTGCCACCCTGGGCAAATAACTCAACTTCTCAGACCCTCAACGTCTTCATCTGTAAAACAGGGGTAAGAACAACACCCACTTCACAGGATAATCTTAAGAATTAGATGAAATATCCTACATCAAGCACAAATGTGCCAATCTGAAGCACCAAATGAATTCTGACTATTATCATTATTATGACTATCACTATTTACTACACACGAGAGTTTTAAAGGCCCTTATTAAATGTCTTTCTTGCCCAAATCCTAAAGGAAAGAGACACTTCCTGAACCACAACCCCCATCAGGCCTTCACTATTGCCTGTTCTACACTCATCACCCAGCACCCACTCTTCCTATTTCTTAGCAGACGTTTCAGCACTAGGACAGCTACCAGGCTGCACTCCTGCCTCCTGGCGCACTCAGATACGTGAATGAATCATTTCCACCACAATCTTACAGACATTTCTCCCCCAGCTCTTCTACAAAGGAAATGAATCAGACAAGAATTTTAAAACTAAAAGAGAACAAAGCTAATTTTCTAACTTGCATCACTGAGTGCTGATTTCGAATTCATACAGACAGATTAATCAAGTGGAGAAAGGGTTACCTTGCATATGGGAACAATTTCCACAGAGAAAGTGCTTTTGTAATTATATGTATTGCTATGAACGTCATGAGAGATCAGTCTCTGTGAAGATTTGGATCTAAAAATAAAAGAAATAAAGACGTTAACCTTAAGCCACCAACCAATCGACAAGCCTTTATCAAGCACAGAGCCTGCCCACCCCAGGGCTGAGCCCTGGGGACCCACACACAGAGGGGATTCCCACGCATTCCTCCAGGGAGATAACACATACACAGACTGGTATTCCTGAGAAACAGAAGACAGCCTGAGAGGGGATGCACCAGAGGTCACGAGGACCACAAAACGGCCTCGTGCAGAAGGTGGCATCTGGGTCGAGTCTTGAAGGAAGCCAGGGATTGGAGGAGGAGGAAGTAAAGGGTATTGTGGGAAGGGGACTCAGCTCACACCAAGTGAGAAAGCTGAGGGTAACAGGAAGACCGGTGTGGCTGGATCACAGAGTGCCAAGGGGGCCATAATGTGCTACCAACTGGAAAGACAGAAGCTTCCAGGCTGTAAAGAGCCTCGAAGGCCACACATTGGGCTAAGTCCTAGAAGTGATACAGAGCCCCCAGAGTTTACAGAGGTGTGTAAATGTGTGTGTGTGTGTGTGTCTCTCTAACATAGTCACACCTGTGTGAAGGACAGACTGCAGTGAGAAGAGCCAGGTGGCAGCAAGTCTGCCTAAAAGGCGACCGAAGGGCAACACACAGTATGGCTACAATAATATTAAAAGCACAATCCATCAGAATTCAGGGCAAACGGAATCCCCAATCTTGACTCCACAGAACTGATCATGAAACCTACTGCACCCCTGCCTCTCAGTAAAAAAGCGAGGGCTTATGTGAACAGAAGGGCACACACTGTGGACTCATGCTCACACAAAGCCTTTTCCCTACCCTGTGCTGGTCTCTGCAGCACGTGAGGGGTGTTCTACACATAAGAGATGCTTTAAGACACATGCATTTCTAATGATGCTTATATTTGTCTATGTTGCAGGAAGAGAAAAGTCTGCTTGACAAGAGGCCTGCGTGTAAAATCACCCTGCCGGCAGCTAGCACACATGGCCCCTCCCACTCCCACGTACCTGGAAGGGACGGTACACTGGAGGAAGTCTACCATCTTCTGGGCATGCTGTTTCTGAGCGTAATAGAAATCCAAGCCATCTTAAAGGAAAAACAAGGCCTCAATGAAAGGGAACATCTCAACAGACTACTAACGGTAAAAGCCTTTCTACTTATATAACCTTTATATAACATTTAAGGGCTCTGCCTACAACAACCTCATGAGGCAGGGAGGGTGATCATTCCTAATTTACAGATGAGGAAAGTGAGGAGGATCAAGGTCAGGTGACTTGTTCCGGGTCACCCAACCAGCAAGTGCACACAACAGAATTTATTTTTTTTTTTGTATTTTTTTTTTTGATGAGGCAATCAGGGTTAAGTGACTTGCCCAAGGTCACACAGCTAGTACGTGTCAAGTGTTTGGTCTGAGGCCAGATTTGAACTCAGGTGCTCCTGACTTCAGGGACAGTGCTCTATCCACTGTGCCACCTAGCTGCCCCCATACAACAGAATTTAACCCACATCTTCAAATGCCAACGCCATCAATCTTGGCTTAATGCCACCAACACTCCCGCCAGATTAGACAACAAAACTCACACTTTTTCAACTGCAAGGTCGCCCACTGAGCTTGGACTAATGCATTACACCAAGAGTTCTCACCATGAGTAACAGTGCAATACTCCAGAAGACAACAGGGCTTTCTTGGTCTCTGTGTACTCCTGGATAGGGCTGGGGGCCAACACTTCTTCTTCTGCTTGCTGGCCACAAGCCCCAACCAAGAGAAGTCTGGTATATGATGGAGGCCCTCAATCAATCACTTGCTGAATTGTCCTTAATAGTTTGATCTGAGTGTTAATGGGACTGTGGAATAGTGAAGAGAAGGTCCTGGATGTGGCCACCTTGACTTTGGGCAAGTCACTGGACCAGATCAGCCTCAGTTTCCTCATCTGTCAATTCTTTGAGCCCATAACTTCACCATAATTGTCCCTGAACATGTTCCTTCTACTTATGTCTTTCGAGGAAAACAAACAAAAAAAGGCAGCTCCAGTAAGCACTCTCCCTAACAAGCTAGCCAACCATTCCAAACAAGAGAACAGCCACTTGTAATGCTTTTTTGCACAGAACTACAAGACAGAAAATACCAAGCAGGCACGAATCAAGCCACAGGAAAAATGTAAATGGCACCTTCAATGATGCCTTCCCATCAATATGGGAGAAAGTACGTAATTAGCACTCATACATTCTTCTTTATTGTTTCTTTTAAATGGCTTTTTAAAAGTCACAGTAAACCAACCACTGAGGCAGTGCTTCCCGCCATTCAAAGGGCTGGCAAACCCAAGTCATCCAAAATGCCTTGAGGCGTCCAGAACAATAACAACCACAGTGCAAGGAGACACCTCTCTGGAACTAAAGAATTCCTTTACTGTGCCCCGCCCCTTCCCAATCCTTTGCAAATAACACATAGTATGTGGAATGTTCCACAAGGGAAAAAGCGGGATTTGGAATAGGAAATTTGGGGTGAAAATTAAAATTTAATTTCAAATTTTTTTAATTCAAGTTAATCTATGACTCACCATGAATCTCCTTAATCCGAAGGGTATTCTGATGTGCTCTATGTTTCAAGATCAGCTGCTCCAGATAGTAGAAAGTTTTTTTGTGTGAAGTCTAAATTTAAATCCAAAAATATGGCTAGATGATTAAACCCAAAGAACAACAAAATCAACAGTAATAGCACATTAATGTAATACAGATTACCAAAAAAAAAAAAATACCAGAGACATCTTGGTAAATATGTGCTGTGAAAAAAATACTAATGACACATCAATTCTTACATCTCAAAGTGCAAGGACTGAAGTCCCCTGTGGGCACCCAAGTCTTGGAAGAAAGGGAGAAAGGGCAGGGCTCAGCCTCTACTCCAGATCTCCCAGTCTCAGCAACTCTGGGAGATGAGCTGACAGAAGGATCATTGATTCCGTCATCCCTCATTTCAAAATTTTTACCTTTTGCCTGACTTGCACCACAGCCTTCCAGAAATCCTTGGCTTCCACCCTGTGGCAAGCATCACACATCTGTGACTGAACCACGTACTCCACCACAAACACTTGCTGAAGGATGGCACCGTTCATCACCTGGGATGAAAAAAGCAATAATTCTGTCCATTTATCCCCAGGTTAAGCCACTTCCATTTCAAAATCTGAAGTCTCCTTCCCTGTGGCGCCAAGATTTTATATGACAGCACAGTTAATACCTGAAAGGCCCACAAACACACGCTATCTCATCATTTCCTTAATCGAAAATCTGTTCACATAAGAGCCTTCAGAATGTATTTTATATTAATTAAGGATAAACCACTCAGATTTAACATCCTATATGCAGAAAATGGCAGATTATTTGATCAAAAAAGTAAAAAGATATAATGATTAAGCCCCAGGATGTCTTACATTAACATTTCAAAGGCTATGAAATATTCTTAAATTAAAGCAGTTTCACTTGGGAATTTTTTCTTTGAAGAAGGATGAGCTATATATAATTCAACTGTGGAAATTGAAAGGGAGGTGGGAAGAGCAATCTTCAAAAGAAACAAAAGAGTCTCTTAGGTGATATTTTTATTTTAGCCAGAAAAAATTGTCAAAAGCTAATGTAAGCCTACATTCCACCTAGAACACATGCGTCTGCTTTCCCTGAGGGCCCGGCCGGGTGTACAGGGGACCCCAAAACAAGCAGAGGATTAATAATGATGCAATTAGCATTTTCTCTAATAAAAGAATCACTGGTCCCTTTCTGAACCATATTCAACGCACCAAGCCTTTTGCTTCCCTGGTTGATCAGCTTCTCTAACTTACCTCTTTCTGGATAGTCAGCTTGACTTTAAGCCGTTTGGAATGAGGTTCAGTCCAAACAAAGCCAGCTTCGATCAGTCGTACCTTCAATGGGACAAGAAAAAAAAAAACCAACCTGAAGAAATGAGCTCAGTAATGCAGAGATCTCACAAGATGCTCTAAGAATTAAAAAAGGTCAAGGATCCACCACTGAACAGCCAGGTGGTACAATGGATAGAGTGTTGGGTAAGACCTGAGTTCAAATCCAGCCTCAGACACTTACTAGCTGTATGACCTTGGGCAAATCACACTATTTGCCTCAGTTCCTCACCTGTAAAATGAGCTGGAGAAGGAAACAGCAAACTGCTCCAGTATCTTTGCCAAGAAAACCCCAAATGGGGTCACAAAGAGTCAGACACAACCAAAATGACTGAACAACAATAAAGAATCGACCCTAGAGGCCACAAGCACCATGGGTACCGCAGCAGGACCAGTGAGGGAGAATGGGCATCGTCAGCAAAAACCAACCATTAACGCAATAGATCTTATCCAGACTGTAAAGAATAACGTTTACCAAGGGAAACATGACGACATCTCGTCCCTTGGAAGAATTCTCAGTGTGCCAGGAATAGGACGCATTAACAAGGCATGAGATCACCATTCACAAGACGTCTCGGGTTTCTTCCTCCTTCTCGTAGCATCTGGCCAATGTTGCTTTGATTCTAAACCCATCGAGTGAAGGTCAGGGGCTGTTTCCAGGCTGAGCCAAGGCTGACGATTAATCATCCAGCAGGCACTCAGACCAGGCTTGGCTATCTAAGGACGATGCTCAGAAGGGAGCTCACATGCTCAATGGCCCTGCATCCTTCCCTGCCAGTGAGAAGGTCACACTCAAAGGAAGGCCTCCACAAGCACTGTTTGCCCATTTCACACATCTGTGGAGAGGTAACATGGCAGTGATCCAGCAGCCAATCTTGTGGTCAGGACAGCCTCTGGCTGTGTGACCCTGGGCAGGTCACCAAACCAATCCAGTGCCCAAGGAACACTATCTCAAGTGCCCACTTGGAAAGCACGTGCTTCCCCACATCGGTAGAGTTTCTTCACCAGGAGTTCCCATTACCAATGAAATCACAGGTCTGGTCTAAAATGACATCCCGCACCCTCACTCTCACAGAGGCTAGAACAAGCCCCTGGCCACCAAGTGCTAAGTATAAAGAGAGAACAAGCCGCAACGAGGCTCTGACCACCATCCTCCTGACTGGAGACAGTAGGAAAGTACACCATGAAAACAGAAAATGAAACACAGAACAGACCAGGTCTATCACCAAGTATGTATGAAGCCCCTACTGTGTGCCATGCACTGTGCTAAGCCTGGGAATATAAAGAAAAGCAAATGGCAGTCCCTGCTCCCCAGGAGCTCACAGCCTAATTGGAGTGGAGGGTAATTTCCTAATTCACTGTCAGGGAAACCGATGCAGAGGAGAACAGGGGAGGCTTCCTCTAAGAGACTGCTCCTGAGCGTGCCCTAAACAAAACCCATGACTCTCGTGGCCTGGAAGGAATGGACAGACCTCCTAAGGCGAGGTGGTTTTCACACTTCTTTCAAAGCTGCTGTGAACTGCCCACATTGTGTCTGGAATGCCACCAAGAAGCAGCAGCAGTGACTTCATGGCCATACCTGACTGTCAACCCAAAACAGCAGCATCCAGCTCATCCATCCATCCAGTCACCAAGTGACTTTGGGGTTTCTGAAAACCAAACTCGAGACATTTCTGAGCAACGTCACCGAGAGGGCAACGCTTACTAACCTATGCAAGTTGTAGGATGTTTAAGTCACTTAGATTCCAAATCAAATCAAATCAACAGAGAATGTGAATGTGAACAGAGAATGTGAAAAGTGACCGCTACCTTCTCAAAAACCCAATGTGACAGACTTGCCGAAATATGACCCAAGTTACACAAAAACGCCAGGAACGGCCTCCTTCTGTTTTCCATCAACGTTTCCAATTCTCTCGGCTTATCAGATGACACTTTCTGTAAGGTCCTGTCTGTTCACACCATTACAAGACATTCAGGTCACCTTAAGTCAAGAGACTTTATTCACCACTTTCGGCTCTGAAATTCATGGTTGGCTGCTTCCTGACCAAACTATAACATGGTATCAAAATTCTGATTTGCAATCACATTCAGCATTTAGTTTCTGTGTAAAAAAAAAAAAGGGGGGGGGGGAGTACAAAAATAAATATCCATGTGCCAATCCTCTACGAATGAAGCAGTTCTGCCTGACAAGCTGGAGGGCTCTCCAGAACACCAAACATGAATTCTGTTCTATTGAAGCAACCAATTCACTGAATAAAAAATCTAAACCAATAGTGGTGCATTAGCCTCTCCTTATCTGAATTTTATCATGTATATAATACTTTAACTGGCCAGTCCAGGTTTCTGGTGACACCCAAATGCAACGGGTGCCCACCAATGCCATCCTTAAATGTCCTTCTGGGCTTAGCGAGCTCTCATGCCAACCCCTCCAAAAACTCTTTGCAGTTGCTGTTTTATGAGGTGATGCTACCTCCCAGGGTAGGTTAGTGGTGCAGTGGACAGAATGCATTCTCAGAAACTTAATAGTTACAAGACCCCGGGCAAGTTACTTAACCTGTTTGCCTCAGTTTTGTCACAGGTAAAATGGGAATCCTAACAGCACCTACCTGAATGGGGTTAGTGGGAGGGCCTGATGAGGTATTTGTAAAGTACTCAGCACACCTGGCACATGGCAGGGATTCTAAAAATGCTTATTCCCACTGCCACCTCCCCACCCCCCACCCCTCTGCCTTATCATGGCAATTCCTTCACATCTGTTCAACTTTTTAGCGATCCAGCGGACATTTCTTCTTTTGTCCACTTGTAGTCTTTCAGACAATAGCTTATTTAACCACACAGGGATGGAGTTGCCTATGCCGCACACAGTGCCTGCCTCTCTACCTGCCTGTCTTGTCCTCTGGCACTGATTTGGCTCTCTCTCTAGCCAGCTGAATGTCTAACCAGAGACCCCACTGCTTCAGGAAGCCCCCCGATTTCAGCTGGTGGTTTCCTGTTGAGATTTGACAAATCTCCCCTTATTTCTTCATCCCAAGCCGTTTTTCCCAACATAGTTTTTGCCGGTCTCCCTTTGCTGACTCTGGGGTGAAGTTCTATACCTCTTCATTCTCTGTCCCCATGCCTGTGGGCACCATGAGCACTGCCAGGTGGGACGGCCCAAGGTCCAACTGCTCCTTCCACGCATCTGAGGAGAGCCGAGTGAAGCCGTCCATCCTTCCACCTGGCTGCAGCCTGCAGGCATTCTTGTCCTTGAGCCATGACGTCTCTGGTCACTCATCTACTTGCTGGTTACCAGACTAAACCACACCTTCAGGTCCTTGTTTACAGGTCTGGGCACCTCTGCCCCCTCTTCCACCAGAGGGCTACCAAGTACGGACAGCCGGTTTACATTTTCACCTGCGTCACCTTAACAGCTGGCCGTCTGGGGATGAGTCTCCACCCACGGCCAGGCCGTTCTCCAGGCAGCAGACCACCTATCATCGGAACCACACTCAAAGCCTTCCAGCATGGGAGACCCCACCAGGGCTCGTGCGCTGCTCAGACAGCCTAACCTCCTCCCACTGTGATGAAGCACTGGACGTGGAGGGATTTCCATCCATGAAAAATCATTAAGACTTTCAAGTGAAAGCCAATCTTCCTTTTAAAAAATTTCCATGAAAAAGCACATACTTATAAATATGAAAAGGTGGATAAAAGCTTGATGAGGCAAGGTATGTGCAAATAATAAAAATTAGCTTAATAATCCTTAGACTAGCCTTATATGACATGAATTTCTTCTAAACTAACACAGCTTTTATAAATTCAGCTTTGATGGGACAGAACTAATCTATAAAATCTGATTATACTTAAATAAGCTATCAGTGTTATCTACTTTGCATAATGCACTAAGGACAAAGGAGCTAGGCAAAGATGAAAGGTCACTGAATGCTGCCACAATTTACGAAGCACCATTTATTAAAGGCCAAGTGGTGGGCTTTCCTAACAAGCATTTTTAGCAAAATGGTTCTACAGGCATTACTGATAAATCTTCTCAGTATTAATTTTAACATGAAAGGTTTGATTCTAAACAGTAATTTATTAAAACACCTTGAACTAACTCACGTAAGGAAGAGTTAAGCGATTTATAAGTTTAAAAGACACATGAGTGCAAACACATGCAAACACACAAGTTCTTTGCTGAAATAACATTCGAAGTACATTCTGCTTTTCCTTTGGGGTCATTTTGGTGCTCTGCAAAGAATCAAACAAGGAAAAAACCAAACCCCAGCAAATCAGAAATCCCAACCTGTGTAATTATTTTTAATCTTAAAATTCCTCCATTTTGTTCTAATTTATCCCCTGCTATGAACAGGCTCCCAAAGTCAGACCTTTACACCCAGTTCTAGAAGGCAATCAGCCTACCTTACTTAAAGAGGCCTTGATTTTTTTCAAACACAAAGTAAGAAGTTCCCTTGACTCTAAGGCACACTGTATCCATGTCCCTGGTGGCTGAAGATACCTGAGAAGAAAAAAAAAGGAAGAGTAAATTATGAACTCTGAATGAGCAGACAAGTATACACAGAACAATCAGCCGAAGGATTTAAAACAATTTCGATTTCCCAGGATAACTGAATCAGGAAGTAGTTAACCAGGCTAACAAAGCCAGGGTGCCTCAATAATTTTTTAATAATATAAAATCTCATGGTCTGTTTCTTATTTCTCTTTTCATTAAAAACCCAGTGATATAAAAGTCATGAGTTATTTTATATAAATACATAACATAACTGCAGTTTTATTATTGTAAAATAATAACTTCATTTAGGTTTGCAAGGTAAGGTGTTCCTGAGTACTGTTCCTGAAGACCTATCTTAGTGAACAGATGAGAATGATCTCTAATTAATATATGAACTGTTTAGACATAAGGAGAACTTTCTAAAGTTTTAGAAAACCATTTGTCCTCTTGAAAAATATTTACACCATCCATGTGCTAAGCAAACTTCATAGGTAAAATACCTGAATTATCACAAATGTCTAATATATGAAATACAAAAGAGGCTTTTCCATATATGTCGATTAATTCCGATTCTCTTCTAATAATTAGGAAGACTTTTCATGTTGAGCAAAAATTCCTGACACTTAAATTAACTTACAACTTTATAGGTTCATTAAAACCTAGAATTAGACCTGGAGGGCACATTAAAAGATGCCTGGTCTCTTCCTCATTTTGCAGATTAGGAAACTGAGCGCCAGAGATTCAAAGAGTCCAGGACTCTGACCTCCATGCCCTGGCATACAGGAGTCCTTCTACTCAAAACAATGCTTTCTCTGAACTTAAAATTGTTATTTTACACATGATGCCAGTTTTACAAACTTGGGACCCTAACAAATTAAAGCAATTTCTCCTTGATCAGACATGAAGGCAATGGTGGCAAAAGCAGAAAGAAGGTCCTAGCATCCAGCCTGCCTATGCTCTCACTGCTGGGAATAGCAGTGAGCCCACCACGCTGCCCGGGGACAGACTTTTCTGAGCACTGTCCTAGATAAGACAAGACAGTCTTTTGCTCTCAAGGTCCTGGCTTCCCAATCACTACCACCATTCAGAAGAAACCACCCAGCCTATCGTCTTCAAAGAACAGGTCCCCCAGGAAAGGCAGAGAGTACCCACTCGGGTCTAGAATGCCAAAACACCCTCCGTGGGCAGACTGGTTTTTGGGTCTCTGGCCTCACCCAGGTGAGGAGAGGCAAAACAAGGAAGGAAAACATCTCATGGACAAACCTTTATTTTGTTATTTGCTAAGCAGCTACGGACACCAACCAGTCTCCCCCCAACAAAGACCAGGGGCGATTCACCTCCAAGGAGCAGCCACAGTTAAACCTTAGAAGAAAGGAAGTCTTGATTCCAGGCCACCCTACCTATGAACTCACAGGTGTTTCCTTCCATCAGCTAAGACTACTTCTGGACATAGATGCAGGTATATTGACTGGCTGATTAATTTATACATTAAGAATGGATGTGAGACGCTAGAGACTTATGTACAAAAATGTTTACAGTGGCTCTTTTTGTGTTAGCCGGAAACTGAGACTGTATTCTCTAACTGGAAAACAGTAAACAAAGTATAGTGCATGGACAGAACGGAATGTTATCGTGCCATCAAAAATGACAAGACCGGCAGTTTCGGAGAAACCGGGAAGCCGAACTGATGCAGATCAAAGTAAGTAGACAAAGAAGAACCAAGATCTTTGCAGGGCTTTGGAATTCTGATCAACACAATAAATCAAAAAAGCGAAGATGAAACACTAGCCACCTCTTGCCAGAGACAGAATGAACTTAAAATACAAAAAGAGACAAACATCTTCAGACACGGTTGATGGGGGAATTTGACCAGATGCAATCTGCACGTATGGAATGAGGTCCTTCATTTTTCTCTCTCTCTCTCTTTTTTTTTTAGGAGGCAGGGGGAGTGGCTCGATTAGGGGCAGGAGGTAGTGAACAAACTAATAAGAGAAAAAAACTTTTCATTACAGAAGAGATGTTATCAGAAACTACAAATTATAATAAAATGACTAGTCTCGTCACAATTACATCTGTTCGGAAAGGTAAGAGAAACAAACACTTATTTCAAAGACGTGTGATTTTGATCAGAGCAAGGTCTCTCACCACTGAAGCTGATTGATGCCCCTCTTAGCTTTAGGTCTTGGGAAGGAGGCCGTGTTTCTGTCCAACCTTCTGCCAGAAACTTCTCTCAACCGGGCTGGGCTAATCCTCCAGCTACATGCTGATACCCAGGACACTGGCAGATCAGTGAAGACACACTCCGAGCCTTGCCAGATCATAGACAAGGTCTGACCACTGGCTACTCCTAAGAAAACTAGTGCAGACTTTCTGTGTAATATGGGTATGTCCGTGCCATCACAGCCAACCATGGCAGGACCAGCCACTTCCAGGGTTTATGTACAAACCCAGGCTGCACTCAGGTTGACCTCATCATTGGGAAATCTCATTGTCCTGCCAGATCCAAGCAGCCTTGGTACTCGCACGTCCTCAGTACTCCGTTGGCCCTTCTGACTGGACGGTACAACCCTGAACTCAACTTTCATTTAAGGAGAGCAGACAGAAGAAATATCCCGAGTCATCTCATTTCCCACCCTACCTCATTTTGGATTTCTTAGGTCTCTTCACCTTGCTCCTCTAGCCAGCACCTTCTCTTCCAAGCCCCACACCCACCCTCAAGCTTTCCTTTTGTGTACTTTCTTCTTCCTTTAGATTGTAAGCTCCTTGGGGGCAGGGACTTTCTTTTTTGTATTTGCATCCCTAGCACTTGCCACAGTGCTGGACGTACAGTAGGCACTGTGTTGCTGTTATTAGTGGTGTTCAACCCTTTGTGACCTCATTTGGGGTTTTCTGGTAGAGATACTGGAGTGGTTCACCACTGCCTTCTTCAGCTCATTTTACAGATGAAGAAACTGAGGCAAACAGGGTTCAGTGACTTGCCCAGGGTCACACAGCTAGTAAATGTCTGAGGCTGGATTTGAACTCAGGAAGATGAGTCTTCCCAACCCCAGGCCCAGCATACTGTCCACTAAGGGTACCACCTAGCTGCCCTTATAGTAGGCATTTATTAAATGTTTACTACTGAATATGGAAGAAAAGTTAAATAAGGTTTTTTAAAGTACTTAACACATACACAACTTAAAGTTAAACTGTGTCCAAACTTAAGTGTTGTTTTCATTTCACTTATATCAACTAGTAATTAAACAAAGAAAAAACTGAAACTAGCAGTAATAACTAAATTTCTCTTAATATTCTATTTTTATCTGCCCTCAGAAACATCAACTCAATTAGCATAAATCAGTTTCTTAAAATCACCTACAGAAAAGACATCAGAACAAGAAACAAATACCTCTGTAATTATCTTATTAGTTTTTTAAAAAGTAGAAAAGTACACTGTAAAATTTAGGACTCCCAAGTATTTGCCCAAAACTTATAGCTCCTCTCACCCCAGATGAAAATCTTAGCAGTAAATAAATAAGCTAAAATATCATACCTTTCACACTGTTTACAGAAGTTAACCGAGACTTGTTTGGGAATCCCTTCGCTGATGTCCACTTGTGTCCGCAAACAGGCCACACACATGTTGGCCGGGTTAGGGGGGATGGGGACACCACACTCGCAGCACAGGCTTAAATAAATGAAACAAAATTAAGCAAATTACTGATTTCTCAAATGGGACAGTGATAATACATCTTCCAAAGACTGCACTATAATAGGCTCAACCTGCACTGTTTCTGACATTGACTCATCCTCAAAAAATTCGTTAAAGATACCCCGCATGCATTATATATTGGGATTGATTGAGAATAAGTACTATCAGGTCTCAGAATGTTTCCCTTAAGAAGTCATTTCATTCTTAAGTCCAAGCGCAAGAATACGCTCACAGCAGAAAAATCATTTGGGAAGATGACACCACATATGTAAGTCATTCCATTTATCCTGTATATAGCGCTGTGTGTGTGTGTGTGCGTGTGTGTGTGTGTGTGTGCGCGCGCGCGCCCGCAGTCTCCCTCATCAGACTGTAAGCTCCTCCAGGGCAGGGGCTGTCTTCTGTCTGTCTCCCTATCCCCAGTGTTTAGCACGGTGCCTGGCACACAAGGCACTTCATAAATGTTTACTGAACTGAACAAGTAGGAGACGGCCAAAGCCGTATTTGATGCTACCCCACTGTTCAGACTGGCACATCGAGGCATCCTGGCACACAGCGGCCAAGCCGGCTGTACATCCGGGCCGACAGGGCTCTGCCCCCTGGTTTATCGTGATCATTTAACACTCGGATCTCCACACTCCTACACTCTGCGGGGTACTTTCTCCTCCTGGTCTCGTTCTCCGCACACCCCGAAGCCCCTGCACCCTCAGCAATGGGCCCGAGAAGCCCCGGCCCCCGCTTCTACCGGACTCTAAACCGAACTCGGGCCAAGGGGATGACGACGCCGCGGCCCAGGGGGCCCGGACGGGCGGGCGGGACTCACACGCAGCCGGCGCTGCTCGCCGCGGGGCCCTGCAGGTACTCCATGTCGCCGGCAAGCCCTAAGAAGAGAAGGGGGGTGAAGCGCGGCCCCCTGCCCCTGCCCCTCCCCCTCCACCGCGGCCCACCGGGATCCCCCCACCCCCGGGAGGGGCCGCTAGCATCCCCGGGGGACAGACGGGTAAATGGAGGCCTCGGGAGGGGCGGGCCGGGTCAGGCTGCCTGCACCCCCGGGGCGTGGGGGCCTGCGCTGGGCGTGACCAGCGCCCCCCTCCCCCCCCCGGCCTCCGTTTCCTCCTCTGTAAAAGCAGGAGGCGGGGCTCGACGGCCGGACCTTGGTGACCCGGGGCACCTCCGGCCCGCGCCTCTGTTCTCTCCTCCTCACTGGGGGAGGGGCCTCGAGGGTCTCGTCCACCTCGTGACCTATGACCCCTCGGCCCCAGAGGATCCGGGGGACCCCGGGCCCGTCCTGCGCCTTTCTGTGCCTCAGTTTCCTACTCTGTAAGGCAGGATGAACCCCAGCCCCTCACCCGCCGCCCCTGGGGTCGAGTCCCCGTTCTACCCTGCCCGGGTTCTTCCCCGGCACCAACCCTGGTCCTTCACGGGCTCTTCACACGCGGCACCGGCACCGCCGCTTCCGGGAAGAAGATCTCGCGAGAGCGTGCGTGAGACCACGCGAGAGTTAGAGCCTGCGCTTTCTTAAAGGGGCAAGCGTCAGAAAAGAGGGGAGGGGACAGGAGAGAGAGGGAGAGGGAATAGAGAGAAGGGGGAAGGTAGAGAAAGAGTTGTCTCCCTCCACAGTAAAAAGCAACCCCCAGTCCTAAATCCAGTGACTCCTAGAATGTCAACCCTAGCAAGAGCCTCAGAGCCATTTGACAGATGAGAAAATTGAGACCCAGAGAGCTGGAACTGTTTTTTTTTTTTCCTCTTTAAATGTTTTATTGAGGGGTTTGGCTTTGGGGGTTTTTTTGTATTTCTTTGTTTTCTTTATCCATTTGTATCCCCAGCACTTAGCACAGTGCCTGGCACATAGTAGGTGCTTACTAAATGCTTTTTTAAAATTTACTCATTAAAGCTCTCTGCCGCGTCTAGTGACTCCTCGACATCCTCCTTTAGAACAAATAAGAACAAACAAGCAGGACGAATCAACCCATTTGTCTGTAGGTAGCCGCTGCCCTAACGCATTTTCTTTGACTCCACATTCAGGGCGCTTTCCACTCCACCACACTGCCGTTCCAACAGCTTGAGAAGATTTCATGCAGTGATTTTAACAAATATTTTTATTAGCATATATTTAACAAATCAAAAATCAAGTCAAAAACACCATTGCAGTTGTTAACAGTAAAATGATTTCAGATAACATAGAATCCCAGTCTTCTTGAGGCTTGAGGTATAGACAGGGGGTAGTACACCAAGCCATATAGTTAGTCACAATTAATACAAGGTCGGTCTGTTAAAGAGTAGCCCAAAATAAGTTTTCAAACATAAATTCCTTTAAGTCATCATGTTGCCTTACATTTAATAGTGTTTGTTGAATTGAATTAAAACCCAAGCAAGATGGCCTTTGGGGACAGAATGTTCAGAGAAATCTTCCCTGAGCACCTGGCATTTGAGTTGAACTTTAAAAGATAGGTAGGGATGAGCAGATAAAGAGCAGGGTGAAGGGCATTCTAGCAGAGGGAACAGAGAGATTGAAGCCTTAAAAGTGGGAAATCACTGAATGTATTGGGGGAGAGCAGGGCCAGTGAAAAGAAATTCCCTTTGGCAGGGAATGTCAGAAGGCTGGAAAGGTAGAGTGTAGCCAGATTGTGAGAGGGCCACTGAAGGAAGACCGGTGAGTCCCTAACTAGTATCTCCTCAGGCTCCTCTCCTAGGCTCTCTTTCCTTCTCCCTCTATGCTACTTCACTCTGTGATCTTAGCAGCTACCATGGATTTGATTACCATCTCGATGCTACTGATTCTCACATCTACCTATCCTGTACTAATATCTCCACTGACCTCCAATCCCACATCTCCAACTTCCTTTCAGACATCACAAATTGGATGTTTAGTAAACGTCTTAGACTCAACATATCCAAAACTGAACTCATTCTCTTTCCCCCTGAACCCTCCCCTGCTCCTTCCCTCCTTATTAGTGTAGAAGGCAATAAATACCACCTTCCAGTCCCTCTGGAGTCATCCTGGACTCCTCCCCATATCCAAACTGCTGCCAGGGCCTATCCCTTTTACCTCTAAAACATCTCTTGTAGATTTCACCTCTGCAGCATCTCTTGTAGATTTGACTTCTGGAACATCTCTTATAGATTTCACCTCTGCAGCACCTCTTGTAGCTTTCACTTCTGGAGCATCTCTTATAGATTTCACCTCTTCTGCTTCTCTTACAGATTTA